TCTTAATATACTGATCTAACATATATTATAATCCAAGATCTACACTAATAGAATAGTTCTATGATTAACTGCATTTATGATTATTTATTAAAAAATTTCTTTCTTTAGGGCGAGTGCCATGAAATGGGATGCGATCACGTTTTAGGATCGAAAAAAGTATTCGATCTATGCGGTGTATGCGATGGTGATAATTCGAGCTGCGAAAATATCATCACCAAGTTCCATCGGAAACTTCGACGAGGTCAGTCCAGTTAAAATTGAGTTCTTAGAAATGTCGATGAAATTTCCCTCGAGGATATTTAAGAGGATCGTTCGAATTAGTTTAAAAGTATAAGAATTACGAAGATGGAGTGATTAGTTGTTAACTTATATCGCACGAAAGAACGAAGTTTTACTTCGATTTTCTCCAAGTTCTATGACGTAGAAGAAGAGAGGGGAAGTAAAACAGCAAAAACTTTTAATTACTATCGAGAAACTATGCGATGAACGATGTGATTGGTAGTTGAAAAATTTAATTTATGGCATCTCTTTTTGAAATATTTGAATTATCAGAATTATCAGACCTGTAAAATTTAAAAATTCATTAATATTAGTAATATTTAAATTATTAACTCAATAAAATTAATATTTAATTTTGTAAAAAAACTTTAGAAAATATAAATATAAATATACTACGTTGAATCTAAATTTTTTAATTTTTAATTATATATTATTTTTTTAATAAAATAAAATACTTATAAATTTTAATTTAGAATATATTATTATATTTATTTAAATTTTCTAGAAGTAACACGCGTCGCTATAATACCACGAGAGGCGCACAATTTGTATATGAACATCACAATAGCTGCATCTCCACACTTCCACAGAGATAACTTGACAATCGTGATTGGTGATGGCAGGAGAAGACGAAACGTTCAGGAGAATTTAGCTTCTCGAAAGCGAGATATAACGATTGTTCAAGGTGCTGCCTTTCGAGTTCAGAAATGTGGTAATAACACATATTCCATAGAGGCGAATGGTACTACGTTTGAAGATGTCGTCATTTTGGTATGAAATTGTAAAATATAACTTAACAATTTTGTACATATTAAAATACAATAAAAAAAAAAAAAAGAATTTTGTCAAATTGCAACATACCATATTTTCAATTCTGCACCAATTCTTCATATTTTAAAAATGGTAAATTTTCTATAGCTTATAGTAGCAAAGAATACGATACAGCAAGGAATCTCGACTACGGTTTCCTTAAGATATTTCTTAAATCGCGATGAAAGGAGCGCTAAGGATAGATATATATGGCTATTCGGTGGTTGGAGCTTTTGTTCGGCCAGTTGCGGTGGTGGAACCCGTCAGAAAATGATAGTCTGCAAGGATGAGAAAACAGGGAGAATAGTGTCGCGAAGAAAATGCCCATTGACGACCAAACCGAGTCAAGAGATAGAGAAATGCAACGTCTTTAGGTATCTATTTTACTAAAAATCTAAAACTAACAATAATAACAAAAATCTGGAATTTGGTTTCATTTGGTTTGATAGTAATCTAATCTCTTAATTATTATTTTAATTAAAAGAAATAACATAATTTTTTAAAAAATAAAATGTAATTATTTTTTCAACTCACAGTTGTACCTTCAAATGGATACCAGGTCCATGGGAAGCATGTTCAACTACATGTGGAAAATTTGGTGTACAATTACGACAGCTCTATTGCATTCATTCGGGTTTCAATGGAACAGAAATGAATAGGAATAACGAAATAGAAGTGTATAGAACGATGGTACAATCATCCATATGTCAATCGAATTCTATGCCTACGAATACCAGAGAATGTAACAGGATTCCTTGCCCTGGACGTTGGATTTTTACAGATTGGTCTTCGGTAATTTTATCTTAACCTTCTGAAAATACATAAATTAAAAAAATAAATGATAATTTGTCATATGAACAATATATGATATGCAATATCATAGATATAATATTGTGGTACAGGGATCTTCATGTCCAACAAGTAAAAACGAATAATAGTTGTGAAGTTGGGTGATTATGAAGATGTGAAGTTTGTCCATTTTTCCTTAGTCCCTGTAACATCATAGATAATATTAATATCATAAAAGATAATATTTTAAATTATCTCGATATTGAAATAATATTTTAATTTTATTATAATTTCAGATTAATATATTCGTATTTTTTTTTCTTTTCCAGTGCTCGAAGAAAAATGGGAAAGGTATACAGTCGCGAATAGCCAGATGCATTCCTCCAGAGAACGAATCGTTTTACAATTGCGACGGTCCGACCGTAAAAACGGAAATCCGTTCTTGCACCGGTCACGTGACCAGAGCTATCGAATTTCCATCTCGTTGCCTCAGAGACAAGAATCGATTCTGCTCCATACCGAGTTTGAAACGATACTGCAACGTGGTTGCTTTTAGAAAAAGGTGTTGCCGTTCTTGCGAAAATTTCGATTCGTCGAATTCTTTCGATCGGGAACATCGCATGTTGCAAACTTGAATTAAATTTAAAATTTATTTTTAATAAAAATATTTATTGTTTGCGATGAATTTAAGATAGAATTTATTTTAAATTAAAATTTAAATTATTTCAACAATATTAGATATTGAGATGAAAGATTGTGGTAACAGACTAAGATTTATTTAAATTTCGAGTATACAATACACAGTGACATTATTTATTAGTGCGAATTAAAAATCTAACGAAATAAATCCAAATCAAGAAAAAAAAATCAGGATGATCAAACACTTTATAATAAATATCGAAGATAAAATGGTAATATGGAATTTTGCAGATAACTCGATTTGTTTCATTGCCAATTATATGTATACCATAATTTACTCGTTCGACGAATACTAAAAATTATACAATCCCATTCTTATATTCTTCAATCCATATTTATTAATAATTTATTGATATTTAAAATAATTTTTAATTTTTTAAATTTTTCTATATACATAATCAAAATTAAAATTTCAATAAAAATATATTATATTCAACTTAATCATAAAATATATATTATTTGAGTATTTTTATTTTTTTTAAATTAATAATATTTAATAATAATAAAGCTGCAATAACAAATTATACGCATATGATATTCCATATTATCATATTCTCTTCCAAATCATTAAACAAGCTTCTACAACTCGTTTTTTACGAGTAGTAGAGAAATCGGAAGATTCGATTCGATCGAAGAAATTTGCATTTTCTTTCGTGTACTACATTATATCCTTCGACTTCCGCTTCCTCCAATTCACGCCTGAGATTATAGCTGTTAAAATCAGCGAAGATATGTTCATAACAAAAAGATATGTACGTAAATATATGTATAGGGTGCTCCAGATTTATAGACGCAAATAAAATGTTTAAAAAATATCAAATAAGTTTTAAATATATATACGATGTATATAAGTTAAAATATTTTGTATAATTTTACATATTGAATTATTTAATTAATAAACAAACGATAAAATATTTCGATGTCTATTAATTTAAAAAATTTAATTTTTTTTTCTAAAAGAATAAAAAATATTTTTAAAAATCATTAAAAATTAACTCGATTTGCATCTATAATCTTGTTACATCGACCCTTGAACAATGATATATCAACTGAAACGATCATTAGTCGCAACTGGTTGGATTAATGCCCTCGCTACATGCTCGATTATCTCGTCTCATTCTACTGAGTTACAATAGTAATAAGTATTGTCTGTTTTTCCAACTGGATTCTTATTAGCATTCGTATTTCTTTCCATTTTTTATATCTAGACTTAATGTAAGCTGTAACGTCATGGCGAAACGTCTTTGAAAATCTTATTGAGTCTTATACTCGGTATGACATCGGCGAAAATCCTTTTAGTTACGATTAATTAATGATATATAGATTAATACGATTCGTTTCTTTGTTATTTTTTCGTGAAATTTACATGGGTGCATCTTAACACGTGCGCGATTAATTATGCCGTTGATTACTTATTACAATTCATTATTATATAATATTGTAACTATATATACGTATGTATATAGATATATCTTCTATACATATTATATAATTCATTTATATGTATATATGTATATATATATATATATAACTCTGGAGATACAAATAATGTTTACAAAAATATTAATTTGGGAAGGCAAACTTTTAATTATATAATTATATATAATTATAAATCGCTTATTCTTGAATACTCACGAATATAACAATAACACGGCTGATTTATCTACAAACACAGAAGAAAACGTCTTCTCCGCGAATTGAAATCAACTCTCGTTTCGAATTATCGATTTTTTACTGAAAAATCTCACGATTCGAAACAATCTTCACGAAATTACGTTAATATACGTTTCTCATACGCGAACAGGTCATTTAAACAAGGCAAACTTCTCGTTTAAAAGTTAGGTCGTAAAATTTTCGAGATTAAATTACTCGAAACGTATGATTCTTTGGTTTGTTTTAAAAGTTTAACATGTACGGTGCGAACAATTTGCAATTTCACTAATGATAAATAGATAACTTCTTATTTTTAACACCGTCAACAGATTAAGCAGATTCCTTGCTTATCGATTAATGGTCTTGTTCGTGCACGTGTTACTGAAAATGGCGTATAACCGAAAGCATAAAAAAGGGGTTCAACAGAAACTTTCGGTTTAATACATTTTTTACCCAACTCGAATTTCTGCCCACAAATGGATGAAATTCACGATTGCCATTTGATCGAAAAAACACGAATAACTTCGTTCGTTGCTGGTGAAACCAGAGATAGTCCTCTCGATAGGGCTCTGTTTTATGATTACACGGAAATAGGCTCGACGGAAACTTTTTGTTTCGTTATTCTGTCAATAGTTCTGCATGTGTAAAAATTCACATTATTTCTACATATTAATCGTTTCCATTTATACGAACAAAAAGTATTTCCTGTCGTGTTCGTTTTTTTTGTTTCGATGCCTCGCAATGTCCGCCTGACGCACTCGTTCTCGTCGTATAATAAATTACTAAACATTATTATACACTACATACACGTTATGAAGTCCCTAACGTTAAGTTTCGTTTTTTTTTTTTTTTTTTTTTTTTTTTTTTTTAGTGAATCTTCAACGATAAGGTTCGTTTCGATGAGTTTCTCATGTGTTTGCAATATTATTAAAAGTATCTATTTGATTGTATATTTTTCGTTTTTTTTTTTTTTTTCATTTTAAGGTATCATTTTTTTTTTTATTATCGTTGAAATTTACGAATAGGAAGACTGTAATGAGACACATATCTCGTTGATCCTTATCATCGATCGATTAAAAATTATCTATTTTAAAGATTCGAATTTTTAGTGCTTTGGTAAAACGTAAATCGTGGTTCGATACAGCTCGTTGTCATCATTTTTCACAATCGTTCCACGTAATTGCCAGGAAAAGTACCAAAGTAGCCGGTCCTTTGACTGGAACCAACGTACCAACCGTCGTCGCACTTCTCCATCACGTATACTGTGTCGCCTTCTTTCAGTTCAAGTTCGTCTTCGTTCTGTGGTCTATAATTGTAGAGAGCTCGATATCTGAAAAAAATTAAATAATTAATCAATATCAATTTACCATCAAACAGTGATTAAGAAATGATCAGTGAATGAAATGAAAGAATTGAAAAAAAAAAAAATAAAAAGAAATTATCATTTAAAATTAATAATCAGTATAGATAGTCAATGTTGCTGATGCATATATGTTTCTAATATTTATAATTTGAAGAGTAAACTTCACTCTATATTTTTTTTTATGACTTTTTTTTCAGAATTTTTCAAATATCTTCTTAAAACATATTTTTTTCAATATTTCTATATATTTTACAGAAAATTAAATAATATGACACACTTAAAAAATTCAGTGGTTCAAAAGAATGCAATTTATAATTCTATTATTAAACGTGAAAAAAATATTTTTTTCATATTTCTTTCAATGCTATAAAATAAATAAATTAAAAATTTTTTTGAAATAATGGAGAGGAACTCACGGTATTGGTTCAGAGTGTGTGTCAATGTGTAGTGCTTCGGAAACGTGTAATTTGTTTCCTCCCATTCGTGGCTGAAAATTATAAAAAAAAAAATTGTTAAATCAATGCAAAAATAAAAATTAAAATTAAACTAAAAATTTATTTTTGATCTTTTATTTAACTCGCTCGGGTTTCTCGCTTGCATGCCATCTCTCATTGCTGACCTATCTCAACATACAACATCTGTGTATTAGTCAGTGGCAGATGCCAAGTCAGCATTCTTTTTGTTTTTCGTACACTGCTCGTGACGTATTTCCAAAAAAAGAAATAGGTCACAACATTTGCGAAGCTTCACCATTCAGAATCTTGATTACTTAAGCATTTTGTTTTTCAATACAAGTACAGTGTATTTAAAATACTAACCAGTGAATTATAGTGTGGCTGAGTTGTGTTCATATTAACTGGTATGGACGGCATATAATGATGAGGTCCCATACTCATTTTCCCTCCAGCTGATCCATTTGCCAAAAGGCTATGCGCAGCTGGAGCGGCAACTGGTTTATTTTGGGTTGGCGTTTCTGTAATTAAATGTCATTCACAGTATTAATAAAAAAAAAAAAATTAAAATAAAAATAAAATTTAAATTAAAATACTAAGATATTTTATTTTCGAATTTCGAATTATATATATAGTACCTGATCTGAGGCCAGGCTCTGTGATAACTTCGACATAAGAGATGGGGAATATCCCTTTCCTGTTTCCAATACGCCCCTCATACCAGTTTTCATCGACTCTTCTCGTCAAAACGACAAGTTCTCCTACAAAATAATTTTTTTTTTTTATTTAGTTTTATAAATTATAGTTTATTTTTTTTATTTAATTATATAGAAAATTATATATTATATATTATATTATATATTATAAATAAAATATTCGTTGCATTTGAAACGCAGCTTCGTAAGTGATACGAAATTTACTTTATTTTACATATATTTTTCATATTTACCTTTGGCCAAAGATAACTCAAGATTTGTTTGAGCAACGAAGTTGAATTTAGCTCGTGCTTGTCCCTCGTATGGTTTCTTTGGTGTGGTTCGCATACCGTCGTATGGCAAAATCTGCAACAAAAAAACAATTATATTAATTTTATATATAAATATAATATTACTTTATATAATATTATTTTTCATTGTAAATTGAAAATATATTGTCAAAAATATCTGACAAATGAATAAATTTATCTAACGTGTAATTTACCTTAAAATTCTACGATCAAACCTTATTAAAATTAGAAAAACTTTGAACCGTTATAACATCAAAGATATTAATTTCCGGTCAATGAATAAAAGATCATTAGAAGCGCAGAATCTTGCACTTTAAAATGCACTTTCATTCATCAAGATACGGTTTCTGATTCCAGAAATATCATCGTTTAAAGAAAAATAATTTTTTAATAGTTCCTATTAAAATTAGGAAAACTTTGAATCGTTATAACTTCGAAGACAGTAATTTCCGGTCAACGAATGAGCGATCGTTGGAAGCGCGGAATTTTATCCTTTAAAACGCCTTTTCATTTATCTCGACACGAATCTCGATTCTCAAGATATCGTTGTGCAAAGAAAAGAGTAATTGTTTATTATCTTCTATTCTTAATCGCATCTTGTCTTATTCATCTATGCCAAACTTCAGACTAATGACAAATACAAATCCAAGAAGATACATGCATTTCTAGGAAAAAATGTAAGTTACTAGATCGCATCTCCAATGATAACATTGAATCTTTAATTTCGATAAAATCAATTGAGATTGAAAAAAAGAATTTTTTCGTCGAAAGAAATTTTATTATTCCGTTATTTCAATTTTATTTTTCGAAAATATTATTAATGAACGATTATTATCAATGAACGTTTGAAGTTCATTAATAAATTTAGAATAAAGAACAGAGATGAAGGGGAATTACCTCGACGTAATTCGATGGGAACAGGCCGATCATAGCATTATGCTCACCCTCGTACCAGTTCTTATCTACCTGGCGACGCACGAATATTATGTCACCGCGACGGAAATTCAATTCCCGGCAAGATTGGCCGATAAAGTTGTAAAGCGCCCTTGCCACGAGCCGAGGTTCCGGTGTTTGCTCCTGGGATCGGCTTCTGTGGCTCAAATCATCCACGAAATCGTCGTAACGGTTCAAAGGGATCGGTGATTTCTGCGATGGTCTGCAATCATTAAAAAAAAAAAATAAAAAAAATAAAAAAAAAAAAAAACGAATAAAAATGTTCGTCGTGGTTTTGCGCGAAATGAATTTATCGAAATATATCGAATTATCGTAGAAAATTATTTTAATCATATCTTGGTATTAAATTAATATTTAAATTACTTCTTAAATCACGTTGCATATACAATTTACACGCTACATTTTTCTTTTAATGAAATCTCTCGTGGTGTAACGATTCGATTAAGTTAAATCTAATGTAATGTGCTTGAAATATATCATTTAATCAAAGGAACTTCAGAATTAAGTGTCAAATTAAAACTGTGAATTAATTCACGTCTTCTTATGCAGTTGAAGTTGTATATGTTACTTATGTGTTACGCTCATGTATCCTCTTACCCTCGTTCAGAACAATGAATAATTCTTACACAATATTTATAGAAGACGGTTACACATCCGCGCAAAGTGCAATTATACGGGACGGTCAGTGAAACAAGTGGTCTCTAACAAAGAAAATTGTTTTTGCTACAATAATTCTTCGAATTCTTGCTCTTAATTCCTTTTATAAATTGAAATATAATCAAAAGATGATTTTATCTTCGCCTAATGTCTAATTTCTAAATCTAATCCATATAGAAATTTATATTTATAAATATCGAATATCAATATGAAATATCATGTATAAAATAATTTTCAATTTTGCGATTTAAATATTTCTAATAATTTAATGGAATTCCTAATAATAATAATTTCTCTTTACGATCATTCAAAATCCATTCGATTTAAATCGAATAATTTAATATAAGATTGATTTGCAAAATGTATAGTATGTTCCAATGGAATTTTTCAAATTGACCATTTGCGAATATATACCTCAGAATAGGGAAAAGTCAACGACACTTTAATACATTCTCAGACCAGACATAAATTTATTATTCTTCCCATTACTACTCAAGTTATTACGCAATGCGCCACGTACTCTTAAGTTATTTTACGCGGGCGTATTAAAGTGTAGGTGACTCATCCGTAAAAAGAAAAATGGAAAAAGAAATTTTACGATGCTGACATTTTATTTCCTCGAGTTAATAACCCTGCTTATTAATTTTCAAATAAACAAGAAAAAAAAAAAAAAAAAAAGAAATCTTCTTCCTTTCTTTCTCCATTCCCTCGATTCATTCGCGAGAAACAAAAATAATGAAAAAATTAATTTTTCGAAATTTAATAATCCTGCATCGATAAATATTTAAAATTTTATCATATTATAAACATCGTAGAATAATTAATAATATCGCAATATGTTAATAAAATAGATAAAAAATAATGAAGAAACTTACATGAAGTTGTCGGTGTGCCTCCTCGAATCGATGTCGTGGAGCTCCTGGAGATATTTGCGACGCCGTTCCTCTTGATAAACGCGTCGCATATTCTCCGCGCTTCGACGAGCGAGCTCTTCCTCGCTCAATGGTTCTTTCGCCTCTGTACGCACTGGTGAACGATAGTGAATCGTCACCTCGCCCTCCACATAACGCCTCGGTGATTCTACAACAGAGAACGTTCGTTATTACAACCTTCCTAGATATCGTTCATTTCGATTTAATTTCGTCCTCTCTCTTTCGCCAAGTTACCATTGTTCTTAATCTAATTTACTCGTGATTCTCTATTTATCGGTCGTTTGCTTCTCGTTGTTGTGGATGATCTATATGAAATATATATCTCTCGCAAAAAGATATCGATGAAATTGTTCGAAGAGATTTCTTTTTTTTTTTTTATTTGCGAATATTTTATTTTGTTTGATATCGAGAACGCGAGGAAAACTATTTTTGGATTTATGAACAAATAATTATGCATTAATTAAGATAATGGATATTTCGTGGAGAAACTCTCAGTCGATTTTAATTGAACGAATATACAATTTCCATAACGTATCATGAAACAAAAATCTTGATTAATAGGGGGAGTAAAACATATTGTGTATAGGTGTGCGCATAATGACAAATGGAATTAGCGTATAAATTAGCCCATTGCACATGACAGTTCGATAATCGATACCTTTTACGTGTACACGTTACAATTTAATGATTAATCGTCTCTCGAACATCATGGGAGAAATTATTGCGAAAAGATCGCATTGTACAAATCATTACCGTAAACGCATGTAAAAGTGGATCAGCATTCTACATAACCTCGAAGAATGATACGCGATACGCCTCTCTTCTTTCGTGGTGTTGCCTTACGAAACATGAGATTTGAGGGCCTTTAGTGCTAAATAATCACGCGTTTTACTTTTAAAATTATCAAACACTATAATGCTAGTGACCCTTGAATCTTTATTCAAATTTCGAAAAATTTTAATGCAAATTTTAATAATTAAACTGCGAATACGTACGTTTAATTTATGGAAAATTTAATATAAGAAAACTATAAAATGCACGCGATATGTAAAAGGCAACAGATTCTTGTCGGTTCCTTTTTTTGTAATTGTGTTGAAAAAATTTAAATTTGCATAAATATCACCAGCCTATCGATAGTACAAGTTTTTAATAGTACGAATTTCATTTCATAAATATTATTTTCCTTTATAATTTACATTGACCTACTCTTATCGTACATAAAACGACCCACAATCAATAGGCGTTCACAAATGTCTTTGCATTTCCGATTCTCTGAAAATTATCAGGGCGTGCAGAAATTCAACGGAAGAAGATGAAGGTTTTACGCGAAAAATCGGATCGTAGATAAGGAACAGAGGTTTAACCTATATTAAGGTCGTTGTACAACAGGAAGTTATATGGCTTCTTTTGTTCGCGCGAAGGAAGTTCTGATTATTTGAGAAAGATAATTTTGAAGAAGAATCGATTAACTTTGAAGAAACTATGAAATTTATTTAACTTTTCACGGTTTTAATTTCGCGAATCTTTTATTTTCATGTTCAATCGTACGTTATTCGACAAAGGAATAATTTTTGCATTGCAAAGTAAATGAAATATCAAAATGTCAATCATATCACCTTATAAAACCGGTCTATTTCTCTTGATATACTTAGATACGAACACGATAAAAAAAATGAATTAAAAATTCATACTTTTAATGTTAAATTTCTGCATTAACCTCAAAATTACAATAATTATACAAGGAATGTACAGATCGATTTAAAATATTTCTCAAATAAATGCATTCCAAAAAATTAATAATGATTCTTCTCCGAAATAATTAATAACGACAAACTAAAAATAATTATATAAAGATCTTATTTATAAAGTAATGAACAATTACCACGACATCACGCCATAATACGAGCACTAAAAGTAAATAAATAAATTAACCATTTGGATCCATTCCTTAATCCGTTTCTTAGAAGCCCACTATGTACACTTTTATTCGAGTTAATTTGTTTGTAAATTCAACACGATCAAAATACATACGTAGCACGTGCGTATCCGCGCAGCGAGATCACGCGACTGATAAAGCGAAAGCAACTACGTACAAGCCTCGACGAGAATCACGGATTGCGCTTGCGTTCTAATGCGAGTCAGTTTATTAGGATGTTGCAATCTGCAATACCGATTGAAAATACGAAATCACTATTTTAAAACAAAAAGTTTTGTTAATTGAGAAAAAAAATAAATAATAGAAGAAATTAGAGATGTGGAGTGCAATATGAAATCATTATTTTAAAAAATGAAAGATTTAGATCAGAATTTTTAATTCGAACAAAATAAGTGGAATTTTAGAAGTTGATTGCAGAAGCGAAAGCGTGAAATCAATGTGAAAAGAAGATATTGAATTAAAATTTTATTAATTCAAATTTGTAGAAGTGAAAATTGCAGAAACGGAAATCAATATTTAAAAAAAAAATTTTAAAAAGCGTTCGATTTAAAATTTTATTAGGTCGAAAAAAAAAAATAAATGAAAGGTAAAATTGTAAGAGCGGATTTAAAAAAGAAAAAGTAGGAAAAAGCTAGTAATACAAATTACGTGTAAACGATCGATGCGTCTCGGTCTGATGAATCCCTGACCACCTGTAAGATATTTCACCATCGTGGTTACATTTATTTCCTGAACCGTGTTGAAACACGGGCACGGTTTCGATGAATAACTTTTTCTAAATTGCAATTGCATTAAAAAGTAATTCTCCTTTTACGAGAAAATAAGAATAATGATGCATCATATAGCTCGTCAAATATGAAATTTTATAGGAAGAGAAAATAATGGCGAGACGAATGAAATCATTTAACCTATTTTTACTACGTTGGAAAATTTTCAATTAATCTTTTGAAATCTTTCTTGAAACAAAGAAGAAAAAAAAAAAAAGATTTAAAATAAAAATTTTTACATCCCATGTGTTTAAATAACCGGTCTACAGATTTTTATGCAAAATCAAATTTTTATGAACAGACGACTATACAAATAGAGCTTAAATAGAAATTTGCCTTATTCCTCGAATGTAATAACGCTTATTTAAACTTTGGATATTTCGTTCTTGTACGTTAAAAATTTTGCATAAAACGCATAAAAATATCTACAATCCACTTTACGCATCGAATTGTATATCCAGCGACGAGCCACATATATAAAATCTGATTCAACTAATTATCATGAAATATTCTATTTACACATTTGCATTTTTATTAATTAAGAACTTTGCTATTCCGTTTATTACATTCTCTTCCACAGTACCGAGTGCTCTATATATATATATATATTTCTTTCGTGGCCAAACAACAAAGATACGAAATCGCGAGATGAAAATAGCAAATAGACGCGCATAACGGCACATACGGGATACCATTTACAACGGGAAGAGGATTATTTGGGTAAAATTATGCGCATGTTTACTGACTGTACGGAATCGGGCCGTAAACCGAGGGAAGCGTGCTTCCGTTTCCAGCCTGTCCACCGTTCATCGAATTCACGTGATTGGACAAAGGGGGCCTCCTCCTCCTCTCGTGGAACGTCTCTCGTCTCTCAGCGTCCATCATCGAGTTCTTGCAATTGTTCACCAACTGAGGCGACTGCAACTCGTCCATCGTGGTCAAATACGCGGTCAAAAATTTGTTCCAACTTTCCTCCTCCTCCTCCTTCTCCTTCTCCTCCTCGATCGAATTACCCACCGCGTTCCGCCCGCAAACGTCGTCGTCCCCCGACGAAATTTCCACGCGACGTTTATCCAAATTCGACGTGGAATTCATCACTCGATCTCCCCCCATATCTTCTCGAACGCTTTCCCCAACCTCTGACACACTTTCCACCTGTCGTTCGCTTAACTCGGACGAGGGATTTCGATCGAAAGATTCGTTCCGTCCACGATCCGCCGAGGAATTCGCCAAAGAGGAATCGTAGCTCTGATTATTTTTCTCCACGATTCCTGACACCGCCGTTTCTTCCACGCGCCGCTCCCTCGGGGATCCTTCATCGTTGATCGATCCCTCTCGATTCTCATCCGAGGAACACTCGTCCCGAACGACGGTTGGCCGACCTTCTAACGGGCAATTATAATTTCGAATCAGGGACACCCGGACAGCGTTCGAACGAGAGCGCTCCCTCTCCAACTCCTCGTACCTCTCGTTCACCCTGGACAGATCCAACGGTGGTGGAAGCTTGCTCACCTTTAACCTCCTAAGAGTGAAGCTGTTCAGATCCGAGTTGGACAGATCTGTCTGGGACGAGAAGAAGAAGCAAAACTTGCTCTCGTCCCGCGATTCAGTCCCCGATTCGCCGATATCCTCGGTGAAGAGGGAATCCTTGTTCGCCTCTCGTGCCCCATTCGCCCTCCACGCGTACAAGTTCGGCAAAGACTTGCAGAGATTCTGCAACGGGTCAGGCGGCAGCTTCGCCGAGTTATTCCCTTCCTCCCTGTCCAACGAACTCGCGTACATTTTACCGATCCCCGGGACAGGCTTCGATTCCGCGATATTCCCCCCCGACCTCCAAACACCGCCTCTCGAGCATCCATCGATTGCCTCGCTCTCCCTCGACCCGCAATCAACTCGTAACGCGTCACAACAGTTCGAATCCTTCGAATTTCCTCCGTTAATCTTCCTCGAATTCGAGCCACCGTCCTTTCCAAAATTATCCCCTTGCCCCACCACGTTCACCAGCAATTTCCCGTTCCTGCTCGTGGCAAGAATTCCTCCACCCTCGACGCGAGTCACGTTCATCGAACCATCGTAATAATCGTCGTCGTCGTCGTCGTCGTCGTCCTCGTTCCTCCTCCTCCTCCTCCCCCCACGATCGATCATCCCGGCGTGGGAAAACCGATCGCCCCCCTCCTCCCCCTCTCCCTCGGTCGTCACGTTCGACCGACACCTGGATCTCCTGTCGCCGCTGCTCACGGACGACCGATTGCTCTGGCTGGCGATCGTCTCGGTGCTTCCGTATCCGCTCCTCCTCCCCTCCCCTCCCCTCCCAAAGTACCCATCGGCCACCGCGTCGCCCGGCCCCATGAAGAACTTTCTTCTCAGGTATCTGTTCCTCTCGAAGATCTCGTGCAGCCTCTCCCTGGTTCCGCTGTACGCCGAGGGCGAGGTAATCGTCTCCTC